TCAGGTTAAAGAAGAAATGACAGCAATCACAAAGGAAATGCCAAAAAAAAAAAAAAAAGAGGACTATAGAAAAAGAATGGAAACCAAGAATGATCAATATAGGAAAGAAATAGAACGTGTAAAACAGATTCAAAGAGATATCCAGGAAATTAAAAATTCCACTGAAAGCTGGCAAAATGCTTGAACCAAACTCAAGACAGGATTGCAGTTAGTGATCATGAAAGAAAAGATCTCTTAAAAATAACAAGGATTCAGGAAATAAAAATTCAAAAGCTGCAAGATGATGCAAAGAAAAATAATATAAAACTGACTGGTGTCAATGAAACAGCAGCAGTCAACACAAATGACATAAAAAGACAATTTGCAGAAGTAATAGTGGAAAATTCCCCAGGCATGGGAAAAGAATCTGACGTACAAGTAAGTGAGGCATATGGACCTCCAATTAGCCACAACCAAAATAAATCTACGACTAGACATATGATAACCAAGATTCTAGAAATTCAGCACAAGAACAGCTGTTAGAGAAAAGAAACAGATCACCTATAAAGGAAAGCCCATCAGAATCACAGCAGACTTCTGAACACAAATTCTCAAGTCAAGAGCTTTGAGTAAAGTATTTCAAGTCCTGAAAGAAAACAACTTCCAACCCAAACTGAGGGACCCTGCAAAACTATCTTTCAAAATTAATGGAGAAATAAGATACTTCCATAACAAAGAACAACTAAAAAAATTCATGACCACCAAACGAACACTACAAAGGGTACTGAAAGATATTCTAGACAGAGATAAAAAATGACAATTCCAAGAACAACAGCACAAAGAAACTACCAGGCAGGGCAAGTAATTAAACAGGGGAAAAGCAGGGAAAAAACAGGAGGAAAATAACATGACAAAGATAATCCAATACATGATGTCTAATGGTTTATTGAAAGGAACAGTTACTGGCTAATTTTTTTTCTTTTTGACCAATATTGCATGCTTATGTCTGGTAATCTGAACAACTAATTTGAAGACAACAATATGCAATGTAACAACCACTGGTGAATTCCTACCATCTTGTCTAGAGAAAATTTGTATCATTTTTAATGGTTTTTTTTTGGAGGGGATTTGATCAATCTTGCATTCTTACATCTGGTAATCTGAGCAACTTCACTGAATAACAATATGGAATATAACAACCACTGTTAATTCCTATCATTTTGTTCTGAAACCCTGTATCATTTTTATTGTTTTTGCTTTGTTTTGTTTTTGTCTATGTTGTTAGTATTTTGCTATTGTTCTTTTTTTATTATTCTCTTAAAAATAAAAAAAAACCCAGATAATCCAATGCATACCAGTTATAACCATCAATGTAAATGGCCTCAATTCATGAATCAAAAGACAAGAAACAAGATCCAACAATATGCTGTATGTAAGAAACACACTGCGGGGCATGGTGGTGCACGCCTGTAATCCTAGCACTTGGAAGGCTGAGGCAGGAGGATCGTCGTGAGTTCGAGACCAGCCTGAGCTACATAGTAAGCTCAAGGCCAGCCTGAATTGCATAGTGAGACCTGGCCTCAAAAAAAAGACCAAAAGAAGAAGAAACACATTTAACTCAAAAAGAAATTCACAGACTGAAAGTCCAAGGATGGGAAACAACACTCCATGTAACAGGAACCCAGAAAAAAGCAGTGGTAGCTGTTCTGTTTGCAGACAATGTGAACTTCAAACCAAGAATGATCAAAAGAGATAAAGAACTTACATACTTGTTAGGGGAAAACTTTAAGAGCAGGAGATAACAATCATAAATATATATGCACCAAATATAGGAGCATCCAACTACATGAGACAAATGAAAAATCAAATAAGCAATAAATAATACAACTGTAATGGGGGACCTTAATACCCCACTGTCACAAATAAATAGATCAACTGGACAGAAAAATCAGTAAAAGAAATATCAGACCTAGAATAGCAAAGAATCCTGGGCAACAAAGGCAAGGCCAGAGGCACTGCAATCTCTGACTTGAAATTACACTACAAAGCTACTGTGATAAAATCAGTGTGGTACTGGCAAAAAAACAGACCTGAGGACCAGTGTAATACATTAGAAGATGCAGATACAACTACAAACACACTCAGCCATCTTATCTTTGACAAAAGGGCCGAACATGTTCACTAGAAGAAAAACAGCCTCTTTAATAAATGGTGCTGGACAAACAAGCTCTCTACATGATGAAGACTAAACCTTGACCCAGGTCTAACACCATGCACTAAATTAAATTCAAAATGGATCAATGATCTAAATATTAAAACAGAAACACTAAACCTACTAGAAGAGTTAGGTAGAAATCTGGAAGGCATACGTGTAGTCATAGAGTTCATGAACAAAACCCAGACCACACAGAAAATACTTCAAAGAATCAACAACTAGGATCTCATCTTATTAAAAAGCTTTTGCAAATCAAAAGAAATCACTAACAGAGTGAAAAGATAACCCAGGGAGTAGGAAAAATTTTAGCCAATTGTCCCTCTGACAAAGAACTTATACCTAGAACATATGAAGAATTGAAAAAAATCACCCCCCTCCCAAATTCAAAGACTCAGTCTACAAATGAGTATCTGAGATGAATACACACTTCTCAGATGAAGAAATATAGACAGCAAATAAATATATGAAAAAATGGTCATCATCACTGGTCATTCCAGAGATACAATTTAAAACACTGAGATTCCATCTCATCCCAGAAAGAATGGCTATCATCAAGAAATCAACCAATAACAAATGCTGGAGGGGCTGTGGGGGAAAAAGGAACCCTTCTCCACTGTAGGTGAGAGTGTAGATTGATGCAACCACTGTGGAAATCAGTATGGAAATTCCTCAAAAAGCTAGGATTAGAGGTCCCATTTGACATAGCTATTCCCTTCTGGGTATCTTCCTAGAATTAAAGACCTCATACTATAGCGATATATGTACACCTATGTTTATAGCAGCACAATTTGTAATAGCTAAATCTTGGAAACAACTCAAATGCCCATCAACCGAGAGATGGATAAAAAAAGATGTGGTATTTTTATATAATGGAATACCACTCAGCCATAAAGGATAAACTTGAAACTTTTATACATGAACAGATGCAACTTAAGACCATAAGTGAAATAAACCAGACTCACGTGTAAACATTGTATTGTCTCCCTGTTGTGAGAAACTGAAAGAACAAATAAGGTCTAAAATGTGTAGGTATTGTGAAATGGGAAGGAATTGTTCAAAAGGAAAAAGGAACTAGGACGAAGGGAAGGGAAAAGAGAAAAAAAATGCAAGTCAGTTATACTATTTGTGTCTTAGTTCATTGAAAAGGAAGGTTTGTGCTAATATCAATTAGAGAAACTTTAATGCCCATATCTTGTATTCTGAATAACTACTTTAAAGATAACATGCAATGTATTAACTATTATTATTCTCCTATTATTCTGTTATGAAATTTTTATTTACCTTTTTTCTATTAAAAAAAAAACAACTGAGCTTCTTTTATGACCATGGCTGTCCTGAGATACTGGCTGTCTCTTCAGCCATCTGAGCACAGCCTACTCCACACCATTCTGGAATTTTCCTATGAGAGGTACACACTGGTTCTCACCAATTCCTTCATGCGCCAAAGTGAATAAGGATCCCAGAGATGTGGAGCTGTGAGTAGAGCTGCCCTGGTTGCCTGTGTACTTTCTGTCCCCTTCTCCACATGGAACCGAGTGGTCTTCAGGCTGCCTGGCACCTGCTTTCCCATCTGGATGACAGCCACTATCTTGCATACAGAACCATCAAGGACATGTATTGTTTTTTTTTTTTTTTTGGGTTTTTCTCCGGTACCGGGAACCGAACTCACGACCTTGCGCTTGCCAGGCAGGCGCTTTGCCGCTGAGCTAAATCCCCAGCCCCCCATCAAGGACATGTAACAGGAAGCTCTTCTGTGAGTTCTCCACTCGTGGGTCTCTGAAGGAGTGGGTTCAACTGCAGCCACTGCTGAGTGAATTCTGTCAGCTCTGGGCCACTTTCCATGGTGTCCTCTGAGGTCTGACTCGGTGGACCACGCTCATGCTCTATAAGATGGACACATTCAAGGTCCAGTGACAGGGTCTCCTGATGGGGACTGTGGCTATGAGGAGGGACTTGCAACTCTGCACATGTTAATATAAGAGTTGCACATTTGCTCTGCTCAGCCCCCACCCGCAAGCCTCTGCTTTAGCCACATTTAGGCCAAAATTAGCACAACAGGTATCACAGACTTGGAGCCCTCCAAGAAGGGCCTCTGAGTAGAAGACCTTCATCTCCAGCAGAGATTTTAAAATAATTTTTTGACTCATCAGATGTAAAAATTCTATATGCTGAGTACAGCTGAAAAGCTATTGAAATTTTTCCCCATAAACTACACATGGAGCTTTTATTCTTGCACAAGTTCCTATTTTCAAACTTATTACATCAACCTGCTCTGGCTCCCAATGAGGGGTAGGCAAAAAGACCTCCTCTACCATGCTGACCTGGCTGGCCACGTATGCTTCCCACGCAAGCTCAGAACACGTCCACAACTGGCCACATGCTGGCCACAGGCCCGAAGGTGGTCACCACCAGCACCCTGTGGTCACACTGCCAGCCCTGTCTGCAACACACTGTTCTGACTCATTTGTCCAGTTTGACCTGTTCATCACAGGCCACTGCTCAGATGCCAGTGTCTGGCAGGACTGAATGGAACAGGAGCTCCAAAGCCAAACCAGTACAGGACCTGTTTCCTTGGGCAAGTAGAGATGAAACCCTTTCTGCCAGCAGCTTAGTGAAGGGAATGCAAGTACAGACTGAGACCAAGAGGCCCCTTGACAGCAACAGTGTCAGCCCTGAGACTTTAGCAGGTGCCACCACTGCTAGAGCCAGAAGGGCCACTGCACATAGCCACCTTGCCCAGCTTGGCCCCTCCAGGATGCAGGCATAACCAGTATGACTGAGAGGCTAAAAGCACCAGAGTCTGAAATGAAATTAAATAATCACTCTTTATTCAAAATAAATAAGCCCTCTTTCTTACAGGGAAAATATCAAAGTAAGTTCTGCCCCTTGGGCTCCATGACAGAAATCACATTCAAAATATGTTCATTTAAAAAAAGGAAGATTAGTATATTAACTAAACTGAAATGTAGCAACTTCAATATACACTGTTTCTTTGGAAATATAGACTAAAAGGAATAACTGATGTCAAAAAGTCGCAGGTTAGAAAACCAACTTCCTTCTGAGGCTCATTTTAGCAAATCCTCCCCATTGTTAAGCTTAAGAGCTATGTCCCCTGAGAAAGGGCCCCTCCCCACTGCCTTCTGTGCCAATGTCAGCATCCTTGAGAGAGGGACAGCTCCTGCTGTCCCTCGCCACAGGAAGCCCCTGCCTGCCTCTGCGATGGACCCTGGGCTGGGCTGGGCTGCAGTGGAGGTGGGGCCTCAGCAGGCAAGGTGCTCAAGGACTGCATTTCCAGTGTTCTCCAGACCACATGTGCCACCAGGCAGAATCCCAGCTCTGAAGACCTCACAACCACCACTTCGTGTGCCTTTCATGCAGGTTAATTTCCAAATTCAACAGCCATACAAAGTATGTAAGGTCAGTGAAAAACTGAGAGAAGAGCCCCCAAGTCTTTCTAAGCCTCCCCGTTCCTTACCCACAATACACAGACACACAGGAAAGAACACTCTCCTTATAAATTTAAGTTGCTCATCTGAGAGGTTGAGGCTTCCAGGGATTCTTCCAGCTCCAGGGCGCAGTGACTGTATGCTTCCAGATGCTTTCTCCAGACTTGAACTAGAACAGGAAACGGCAATGAGGTGCAGACACGTCAGAAACCCCTCTTCCTAGGAAGCCAGTGGGGAGAGTGAGATGCTCCCCCTGCTTAGAGCAGGCTCTACCCTCCTCTCCCAGCCTGCTAGGCCCCCTCAATGAGCAACCTCAGTCACACCCCACAGAGCATCCCCTGAGACTCCATTCGGCCTCCCAAGATGGTCGTGGGTGTGCTACCTTTAAGACCATCCTCTGGGTGACATCTGTGTGCAACAGCCACTCAGGCCTTCACAATTTCCCAAGTCTCGACAGGCCATGGCCTGGACCTCCCAGGCCCTACTGCAGCAGGCCTGACACCATAGATGCCAAGGTGCTTTCCTGAGGACCCTGCATAAGCCACAAGATGCCTGCCCCTACACAGCCCCTCGCCCCAAAGACTTACTGTAGTGGGGCTCTTCTGCAGAGGGGGCCGGGGCGCTGTCTTCCACAGAGCTGCTGGGGCCCTCTGAGGGCGGGCTGACAGGTGTCTGAGGTGCGGACTCCCCTGCCAGCTCCCGCCGCACATTCTCAAGCATGGTCTTGTATGCCTGCCGGGCTGCCATGGTCAGCTCAACCATCTTATGGAACTGGTCCTTGAACACAAGTGAGAGCACACAGGTGACATCCCGGGATGCCCCTTGGTCCCTGCACACTTAGCGATCACCCACCACAGAGAAGCAGGGGCAACAAGCCTCTGTACTTGTGGGTACTGGGGTGCCACCTACAGCCAACAGTGGATCATCTTCTGAGATACCTGCTGGCGGTCAGCCCAGTGCCAGATTCAGGGCCTGGCATGTGGTGCTGTCAGGAGATTAAGGCCACTGTGATGAGAAGCTCGCCTCAGTGGTGGCATCTCCTCAATTGCCAGCATAGCAGAGGAACTAGGCTATCCCATAGGGGGGATAGAGACAGCATCCTCCCACTCCCTCCCAGCTTGGGTCCCATCTCACCTGCGCCCCATCGTAGCTGAAGATGCCCACGATGCTAACAGGAACTGTTTTGTTCAAACTGCGCCCCAGAGCCTTGCGATTGAGAGCAAACACAAAGGGGATGTTCTGCGCACAGGCGTAATCGATAATGGTGTGCAGAGTGTCGTCCAGCCCACCTGGTCAGAGGACAAGGACACACCATGGAAGCGGCAGCTGAGCCTTGCTGTCTGGACAGCAAACACCTCACCTACAGCCCTACACCAGCTCTTTAGCTTCTGCTGAATTCCCCCAGAAAGCAAGCACTAGCTACATGGAAGAACCATTCTCCAAAGGAGACACCTCCAGAGCCTAACAATGTCCTGTGCAGTTGCACAATGCTAATGGCAAAGTTAAGCACTGGCTAATTCTACACAACACTTCCTGCCAGGCCACAGATCAGCTCCTTCACACGGATCAGCTCTGTATCCATCCTAAACCCTCAAAGGCAGATGCTGAGCTCCCACTTACACACAAGACCAGAGACCCAGAGAGGAGAATTCCTCACCCTACATGGCCCCTCTGGCAGGGCTCTGGCTTCCAAGAGCTCACTGCCTCCTCCTGCCTGGGGAGCCAAGGTAAGTGCGTGAGCAGGGAGGGAGAAAGAGCACCCCCACAGCAGGGAGCACTCCCTTGGCAGGAGATGAGGGCCTCAGGCACACGGGGCACTAAGCTCTACAGAGGCCCCATCACAGATTATTTCAATTACATCAGCACCCAAAGACTGCCTTGGGCACAAACACATTATTCAGCTAATTAACACGGGAATATCTATATAAAAAAGCATCTATGTTCCTGGATAGCACGATCTAAAATGATACAATGTCAACACTACATTAATTCCAACCTTTAAAATTTAAGCTTACTACAAAGCAGGATTTCTTATAATGACAAATAAGGGAAACATGTGGCTAGCATCGCCAAGTTCCAAGCTTGTTATAAAGCTCAATACTACTAACAAGGAGATGCAGTCCACAGGCAGAGGGTCCAAGAGTGACCGGAAAGTATGACGAGCGAGCCTGTGAGGAACAACACTTCTACTCGTTGGGGAAAACATCTTGGGGCAGCAGGGTGGCAGGGGGAGGTGGGGTTGGGCGGACCTCTGCAAAGATGCAGCTAGACTCATGCTCTGTACCTTACACTGAAATGTGGTCTACCTAAACATACAAAGACATCACGGGGCTGAGGATTTAGCTCAGTGGCAAAGCGCCTGCCTGGCAAGCGCAAGGTCGTGAGTTCGGTTCTCGGTACCGGAGAAAAACCAAAAACCAAAAAAAAAAAAAAAAAAAGACATCACACAACCAGGGACAAACTATTTTAAAAATTCTTCAATAACCCTGTAGTAGGAAGGTAGAAAAATGAAGTAAAACTCAGATGCAGAAAGAAAAAGAATGCAAAATACCAATATTTACAATATTTAACAAGGCAAAAAAAAATTTAAAAAGCAAATGACAAACCAGAAAAATATCTGCTGCTACTACCTCAAGAGCTACCTTATTCCAATAAAAAGAAAAAGTAGGAACTAATGACTGAACAATTACACTTTAAGTGCCTAACAAATCTTCAAGATGCCAAGCAAGGAGAACTCCAGCCTTCACCAGAGAAGGGTGAGGTATGTCCAGGACACAGTGGACTATGGCCTGGGACAGCACATCCACCATTTTACTGTTTAGACACAAATCCCTGGGAGAGGGTAAGAGTCCTAGAAGCGGAAACGCACATGGAAAACGGAGCTAGCCTCGCTACGTGAGCCACAGTGGGGACAGGCCAGGCTGGCCAGACCTGGGCCCTGGGTGTCCCAAAGCTCAGGTGTGGGCAGCACGGCAGGGAGTGCAGCGCAGGCCCCACTGATGGTATGGAAGAGGCATCAGGCCTCCAGCCCCCCAGCCACAGCCCTCAGATGAGACAGGGTCCCCACACGCCACACCTCTGATGGCAGAAGTGAAGACAGGTTGAAAAGTGGAGGCCAAGGGCCTAGTCCGCCTTCCCCAGGGGCATGTGACCATCTCTGAGGGGAGGATAAGCCATCCCCAGGGCACATCCATCCATGCAGCAGCCCAACCCCCGTTGCCCGCAGCCGAGCCTATTCCAGCGGGCTTCTTGGGGCAGCACCACTGGGAACTGGCTCAGTGCAAAGCCCTGGGCCCGCTGGACCTGCCCCGGCAGGAGCTCCACCACACCTGCTTTCCCAGCCCTTTGCGTGACTGTGACCCTCCTGGGCCAGAGCATCTCCACCGCATAGTGCCACAAGCTGGGATTTCTGGTGACGAGCAGAGAACCAAGGCCCAAAGAGTAGCACCTGCTCCAGCAAACAAGGGAACAAACCAAGGACCCCAAAACAGTATACTCTAGTAGAACAGAGTGGAAGCAAAGGGCCTGCGGGGTGACCAGCTGCACAAAAGGCAAGGGAGCCAGAATAAGTACCCCACTTCTGAAAGCTCTGAGGCAGCTGGCTGAGACCACAGGTTGGTTTGGTTAATGTTAAGTGTATACAAATAAATACTAAGCATTCTAGGGGGCTGAGACAGGAGGATTACAAGTTCAAGCCCAACCTGGGCAACATGACAAGAGTTTGTCTCAAAAATAAAATATAAAAATGGTGCTGGGTATTTAGCTCAGTGCAAAGGCCTTGGGTTCAATCCCCTATAATGAGGTGTGGGGGCACCACAAAAGAACTAGAATCCCAGTATTAGAAAGCTGGGGGATGATTCTGTCGGGAAGTCATCAAATGCGTAACATGGAAATGATCAAGCAAAGCCTGCAAGCCACATACTTGAAGCTATCGGAGGAAACAGTCCTAAACTAGTTAGAGGGCTGAGTGGTGAGGTACGTACACAGGAAAACAAGAGCCCATAGCTGCCTTCTCCCTAAATAAATGCTGTGTAACTATGAGACCCTCTCAGCTATGCAGCTCTCCCGGTTCAGAGCAGAAAAACAAGTGGTTTTTTCTCTCCAGTGACCTGGAAAGGCTTCTGAGCACTGCCACACACACAGCCAGGAGGGCAGGTCACTGAAATCCCATCACGTTCAGGTTAGCAGTGCCGCTGTCCCTGCATTGAGCAAGCACAGGGACAAGCGAGGGATGAGGAGCCCACCATGTCTGCTGGGCCACTGGAGGTCTCAGATGCCAGAAAACCTCCCAGCTTCAGACTTGGAGTGCTAACTGTAAGATCATCACGCGGCTTAACCCCAAGACTGTGGCTGAGCTGAGGTTCACACAGCAGGAAAAAGGAGCAGGGCCAAAGAAGGCTGGCGTGTGCAGATGCTCCCTCCTCCTCGTGGCACTGACGAGGTGAAGCAAGGGTGTGTGCGAGCAAGGCCACTGTGCTCCTGACTACCACTTCCATCTTGCAGTGCTGGGATGCAAGCCCAGAACATGCTAGGCAAGAGACCACCACTGAGCTGTACTCCAGCCCACTGCTATGGACGAGGGAGGACATAATGTAGTCAGCCATGTCCCGTGAGAGCCAAGATGGCCCAAGAACAAGGTAAACAGGAGACATCACAGAAGAGGGTTCACTGTTGCCTTATGTAACATCTATCATCTGACGAAAAGCACCTTCTAGCCCAGGTAAAATGGCAAGGTACTCAGACAAAGCCATACTAGTAGTGAGTAGGCAGATGGGACTGTTTACACACTGAACAGCCCCAAGGAGCCTGGCTGGCTTGGCTGCCGGTGCATCACCTCTGTGACAGGAGTGGCCAGTGACCCTCCCCAGCTCCTGAGCAGAACCTGCACGAGTGGCACATCCTTCCCTGCTCCAGAGGGAGGCCTGCTGGCCAGGTGGGAACGCTGTGCAGGTCGCCACCACTGGCCTGCTTCAGAAGGTGGCACCCAGTGGGCAACACACCTAGGAAACAGTCACTCAGTACAAACACAACTGAAAAGTTGCCAAGGCCACGGGGGTGTGGGCTGGGCCTGGGACCAGGGGCACAGCTGAGTGCGAGGGCAGCACCTGCACACTGCCTCCGGGGCCCATGTGCCACAGGATAACATGGTGTATGTATTACCTACCTTTTGACTGTATCTTCTCACAGTTGGGAGAAATGATGATGCACTTCAGCTTCTTGAGCTTTAGGTGCTTGAGAACTTCCCTCAGCCCCAGCACAAGCCGGCGTTTAGTCTTCGCCTTGACTGGATCTTTTTGGTACATTCGGTCTTGGAAGCGGACCAGCTCCTTGAGTAGGTCTGTGACACACGCGTCTACTTCTTTACTGAGCATCTGGCTGCAGTAACTGAAAGGAACATCAGACACCAAGAACTTGGCCCCTGGCCCAGCAACCATCTACTCCAGGAAAAAGAGACACAAACAGCATTAGACAGGAAGTCACAGGGACAGTAACACTCATCAGAACCCCAGAATTATTGAATAATACTGGGGAAGGTAATGACTGAGGCATCCTCCCCGGCTCTGAACCATAATGGGACAAAAACCTCTGGACCCTGCCTTCCACTGTGGCATACAAGGGTCCTTGCCTGGGTCACGTCCCGATGTGTCTTCCCTGTTCCGAACACAAATCCCTGGATGAACTACCCAGGAAGAGAAGTGGGAAAGGAAAGAAGAGCAGGCAAACAGGGACAAAAATCCTGCCCTAAAGATCTCGTATAGAGAAACAAAATCACGAGAGGGATCTCAATAACATCTGCCACCTCCCCACCCATCCCTGCAGTCCTGGATCAAGGGCACCTCTTCCATCATCACTGGCAGGAAACAAAGCACAGATACAAGGGTCAGGCCACCCCTGAACACCCATGTAACTAACTAGGTACCTGATGATTCTCAATCTGGAAGAATAAAGTGCAGAACAGTCTAACTACTTGGACTTCTTGTGCTGTGCATGTAAGCGGGGAGAAATCAGTGCCAAATCCAACCTAAGTGCCCCGCCTCTCCCAGGCCCCAGCAGGCAGGCACTCGCTCACTCACTCCCGGAATCTGCGGCTGTGGATCTTGGGGAAGGCAGCTTGGTCGGGTGCAGGCTGGCAGGCCTCAGCATCCTTCTGGAGCTCTGTAGCAGGCGGCTCTTCTGACTGGCCCTCAACCACAGGAGTGGAAGCCAGTTCTTCTGTTCTCCCTGAAACTTCAGGGATGAAAAGCTCACTGTACATGTCTGCAGAGCCCTGGGGTGCAGTGGAAACCGTCTCCCAGTGCTGGCCCATGGCAGTCCCACTGACGTGACCAGTGCCCGACACACCTGCCATTCTCCCAACAGTGCTATGGAGCAGCGGAGAGGGCAGCTAACAGAGCCTCCGGAGAAGCAGAAAAGCTGACAGACAGGGCAACTTTCTAGTTTCGAGGATGTACACCTCCCCCTTTCCCTTAGTTTGTTTATTCATTCATTTTTACTGTGGCAAAACACACAGGAAATTACCATTTTAACCACCTTCAAGGATGCAGTTCACTAGTCACATTCATCTTTTAATTCTGAAATCTGATCTGAAGAACCTATCAGAAAGTTTTAAAAATCAGGGCTGCAGTTCTGCTTTTTTTACCCTTAAATGCGTGAAGCCATCCTTTTTCAAACAGTCCTTAAGAGCTGAATTCTAACATCTGAGCTTTGGGCTGGGGGTCAGCTCAGTGGTGGGGTACTTGCCTGGTACGCCTGTATCCCTGGGGCTCAGCCCCAGCACCGAGAAGGAAAAATAAAAAATGAAAAACCTGTGAGTATCTCAAACAACAGAGGTATGTCTAACTCATGCTGTGGTTCAGTAACAGCTTGCCATCTGCAAATGGTGACTTCCCTAGACCATCAGATCAGAGAAGGAAACACAAAGCACATCCCACACCTGCTAGAGTGAAGATCAAGAGACAAGGCCCAGGGCAGGAAAGATGGGAGTGCCACCCGGACTAGGGTGTAACTGGGAGGACACCAGGAAACCTGTGGCAGGAGCTACTAAGGCAATACTGCTTGCAGGGGAATGCCACAAGTGAATGTGCTTGCATCCTCAGCAGCCTTCCTCTAGCAGCCCGAAACTGGACAGTGCCTGCATGCCCATCCTGGCCCTGGCATGCCACGCCCCCAGTACTCATGGTGATGATAGGCAAAGAAGACGCAAGCGGTGTGGCATGGCACAGGGAAGGGGCTTCTGCGTTACTCTGGTTCTCTATCCAGATGCTGGATTTCTCTGCGACTTTCATGAAGCCAAAATCAGATGCATGTGTTTCTATGGCAGTGTAGCTTAGGCACTTGCTGGCAAGCTGCTGTCCGGTGTTTACGCTCACAGCCTCTTCTAGTCAGCGGTGCCTCCTGTGCCACATGGATCACACTCGGGGAGGGGAGGCCAGGCTCATCTCCTTTGCCCCACTCAGACCCAGAACCAGGCCTGGACCCCAACCCCCACCCCTGGGCTCCTCACACCACACAACTGGAGTCTGAATACTGAAACTCAAGCTCAACACTGGCCTGCGCACCACCGCAGGGAGCCAGGAGCCAGCCACACTCATCCCTGACAATGTGCTGTGCACAGCGCCCATGCGCTCAGCAGCTCCCACCTCAGGACTCTGGGTGAAAGCACAGAAACCCTGTGGTACCTGCGGGACCAGCCTGGTCGGCAGCCTGCTCCTCAGCACCACTCTCTGCATCCTGTGCCTCATCACTGGCCATAGCTGGGCTCACAGCATTTTCTCGGAGTCTCTGCTGCTTTCTTTCTTCCCGTTCTTTTAAAATAATCTTCAAAATTAAAGAAATGATTAAAACACTCAAGTACCAGTACCTAAAACATAAGCTCTTCTGCAAAATTAGCTGCCTGAGGTCAGTGTGTTGAACATGCCCAGTCATGCTTTGGGACTAGGACAGGTGCCCTAGTCCTCAGAACTGCCCTCCGCCGCTGGTGTGGGGACAGCAGAGACCCCACAAATCAGGAAGGTACAAAGCAGCCAATGAGAATCCTGGGCTCTGAAGCCAACTCTGGGCTGCTGCCTCTAAGTAGAGACTGAGGACACACACACCACAGGGCCGTGAGAGATCCCCATCGGTGTGTGCAGATTACCAGCTGGGGGGGGGGGGGGGGGCGGTGCGAGGACATCATATGCAGAGGGAATGGTAACTCTCCTTTCCAGTCTTCTGTCTCTGTCACCACAAAGTGGAAAAAAAGAAGGGATTTCCCTAGCAGGTGGCTGAAGCAATCCCTGCTTCATACATTGTCCCGTCCCCTTGGGAGAGGGAAGAATCATTTGCTAGTGAGGCATGAACACAGCTTGATTCGATGCATTTAAACCTGAAAATCTAGCAATCTAAGAACTGGGAGATATCAGCGTGGATATGTGCAACTGGGTCTGCTTACAGTGCCTCATCTGTGGAAACCCTCTACACACCTTCTTCAGCGATGTGGGCTTCTTGGCCTTGGGGACCTCCCTTTGCTTTCCCTTCTTTATCAGTGGGGCGCTGGAGTCCAAAGGGTTGTGTGGAGTCTTCACCTGACTGAAGCGACGGCCCCTCTCCCCTGAGCTGGCTTCTTTAGAAAGGACGGGCACCGCTCCGACTGCAACAGCGTGGAATACATGTGTCATGGTCACTTCCTGGTGGCCTTGGCCAGCTCTCAGACCTCAGCTATCTAGGGTGTCTATAGGAGCTGCCCATGCCACCTAAGCCTGAGCCAACAACCTTCTCACCTTCCCCAAACAAGCTCTTATGTGCTCTTTTCCCTGGCACTGATTCTAAATGAAATTTACCATCTTTTTGACAGGACCCTAAAACATACCTGTTAATCTGAGGTCAGCCTTCTGTCTGTATAAAAAAACAGTGTGCAGAACACATCTCTCAGTCAGGATATTCTAGGTAGTATGTGACTGACGTTGATGCGGGGCCTCAGTCCCTTTCCACAACACTGTCAGGCAGTGTGGCCTGTGTAGAAGCTGGCTACAGGTTTCTGTATGTTTACCTTTTAATTAGGTATCTTATGAGGCCCTAATAAAGTTACATTTTTGATTGGTTTGCCTCAGTTTTGCAGACATAAACAGGTTTTCCCAAATCTCATCATGGGCACTTGCGAGCAACACTTTCCACCTTGGTTAACTGTTTCACCCTGCTTTTAATTAAGAAAACTTCCAAACATATACCAAAGAGAATGCTAAGTAACAAACCCTCACTATCATTCAGTTCAACAACCACTGCTATTTTCCAAGTGTGTTTTACTCATCTATAGGCTTGAAATTTAAAAATAATAATAATAATAATAATGACTGGTGTTTTGCCAAATAGGTATGCCCTTTAAGACTTACCTGTGCAATTCCTGGCTTCAGGGCAAACTTTTTTACAGTACGACGGGCTGAACCCAGGGCCTTTCCACTGGTCTATGTCCCTAACCCTCACCTCCAGTAGGGTTATATTTTGAGACAGGGTCAAAGCTGCCTCCGCCTCCCAGAGTGCTGGGCTGACAGACATTTTACTTACCCACATTGTCCAAGATGATCCTCCCTGCCTCCCATGCTACTTCCCACCTCAGGCTAGCAGAGCCGCCTGGATCTGCAGAGCCTCATTCTGGCACAATGTCTGACACATTCAAGTGGTGGCCTGGTCCCCAGTCACATCTGCTCACTTGCCAGGTACCCAGTGGCGCCACCAAGTGTAGCTCTCCCTGAGCCCCAGCAAGCCTGCAGCAGCCTCACAGCGCTGCCGGCCCGACAGCCTGCTGCTAGGAAGAACTACACCGAGCACCAACAGTGGGCGCAGGAGTCTCTGCCCCAGGCCAGTGAGAGGCAACCATCCCCTCCTCCAAGGTGGCCAGAGAGTTAGGCAAAACCACGCAAAACACATCTGCCCTATGGAAAGAATAAATGGAGCACTGTTTGCTCTTGAGATCACCAGCCCTCAAGTGCAAGCAGCATTAATCAGAACTGAGAAGCACTGTACATGGTTCCAAGGTTAATCCTGAGGAGATTTAGCTGACCCTGATAGATAGCAAAAAGTTAATTTTAATTAATACAGGTCTCACTTTAACTCAGTCTTGAACATCCAGCAGAAAAGCATAACCAAAAGATGTATAAAGCAATGCCATAGTGATACTACCTTCTTCAAAAAATTGGTTATCTTGCCTAGAGACTACCAAACTCCAAGTAATCACACAGATGAAATCAATAATAAATATACCACATTCCTTCTGCCAGTATCTACCAAGTCCATCTCATAAAGAGAATTCGTAACTTGTCATAAATCATCAGTATGGATGCCATCCTGGAACACGGGGCCATAGAGATGAGATCTTCAAACCAGTGGTGAAGTATGCTGCCAACAGGACACATCATGGATTCTACAATGGACTGATTATATTAACATGCTTGTGCCTTTTACTTCTGTTCTTAGTCTGCTACAAGGGACGCCAAACCCGACAATACTAGCCATGTTTCAACTGCTGCAATTACAAAAACAAAAAAGAAGAATTGATAGAGACCACTACAAAGCAGCCCTGAGCAGGATTTAAATTAACCAATTGGCTTTTCATGTTTACTTGTGAGTCTGTCTAAGGCCTAGGCTCCTTGTTTGGAGATGGGTGGTGGACTCATAGTAAGTGAACCTCTGTGAGTCACTAACCCCTACTAAGGCCTGTAATGGTGGATGAAGCCCAAAAACCTCAAAGGATAAGACAAGGTTACAGCCAAGGACACCTGGATCCAACCTAAACTAGATAAGGACTGTAGCCTCAAGCATCTCACTCCTGGGTGGATTAATTTAATACATTATTTGGAGAAGTCCTTGAGTGGTTCTGCCCTTGAGTACTCCCCTCCCTTCTTCTGAGAACTAAACCAACACCAGCCACCTAGAGAAGGCTGTGGTCTTAGCCCTCAGGAAATCTCAAATTCTATGAGAGGGCTTTGACTCTCCTGGAGCCCTGAAATCATTCCATTTGCCTCTTTTTATTTAGCCTTCCCTGTAGTACACCCTTTTGGGAGATTTTGGACCTGATCAGCCTACAATAACTAAGTGACATTATTAACCCGATACTTGAGCCTAAGAATGAGAGTCAGCTTCTATCCCTACTCCCTCCCTCTTCTTCTTATCAGCTTCTCTGGAGGTCCAGAAGCCTGGCCAATGCTTTCTACCTGGAGAACTCAGGCTTTGCCTGCAATTATGCCATCATACGCTGCTACAGGCTTTACTAACTCAAGGACACATCTGCCACATGAGGACACCTGGCCCCACCCCTCCCCGCTCTAGACCAGGTCCTGAAAACTGACCTATAGGGAAGGAAGGGAGGCCTGTATGTCCCAGTCCTTAGCAACTGTTTTACAATGTCAGCACATAGGAAGACCACAGGAAAAGCAAAAAATGGGAGTAGACTCTGTACAAAACAGCATCTGAATGGTACAGACTCAATCTTGTCTTTAGCTCCCTTTTCTACCCCATACATACTTATGATAAAATCCCAGCTCCAGTGATGACCTTGAATGTCATGGACTCTCCACATTGCCACTTTCTCCTTCCTTTTTTCCATTATAACAACGACTAAAGTAAGATTTATTATTTACATACATTAAATGTGCTGGTTTTCTTTGAACCAGAATCAAACTCAGGACCTCACACTTGCAAGGCAGGCACCTTGCCGCTGAGCTATATTCCTGGCCTGGGCTATATATTTTATACACAGTCCAAGGAAATGCCTCTCAAAAACAGAAGGCAAAAAAAGTGGGCCATATATTGGACATGTTCATAAGGTCATGAGAGTTTACCCACCTTATTCTAAAATTTTAAAGTTTTAACTCTTATACTTGGTTCGCTGATCCACTTTAAGTTCATTTTCATCCAGGGTATAAGGCAGGAGTCTAACTTCACTCTCTTCTAAATCCTATGGCCCAAAATCATTTCTGAACATGCTGTTGTCTTTTGTTTTGTTTTATTTTCATCTGTGATTTTTGAGACAGGATCTGTGCAGCCCAGACTGGCCCAAAACTCATGGCAATCTTCCTGTCTCAGCCTCCTGGATGCTGGGATTATAGGTACGTGCCACTATGGCCATCTTCTTTGTTCTTTTAATGGACTTGGCATCCTTATAAAAGAATCTACAGGCCACAGATATACACGTTTACTTCTAGTCCCACAATTCCACTCCACTGGCTTATCCTTATTCCATTATCAAACTGTGATTATACATATGATTAACTTGACTATAAACAAAAATATTTACAAAATAATCTGTGACAATGACTCTGACCCTTGGTGAGGTCAGAAGACTCCTACCTGAGAACACAACTGGTCTGGAGGACTGCTTGGCCTGCTGGGCATGCTGTTTCTTCTCCAGCGCTGCCAGCATACCTCCCAAATCCAACTGCACCGGAATCTGGCTTTTCTTTCCACTATTTTTAAAATTACTCTAAAAAGTTCAAAAAAATCATAAGTTTACTTATAATACTAAGTTTGACACAATGAGCTCATCATTTTACAAATTAAATAATTAAAAGATTAAAATGATAGTGACTATAAAAGTCGTATTTTTAAAAAAGCAAATAATTAAAGAAAAAACAATCTCACATCATGTGCAAACAGTACTGAAGTTGTATTTCCTCCTCCTTTGAGAACACTGAGTTTGTATTAACTCACCTCCACTGTGAGAGAGAGTGGGTATCTCCAGACACTAAGGCTTACCTAATACAGCATATGGTTACAAAAATTTGTGTGTGAGTCTCCTTCGTTGTTGTCTCTAGCACCACTCTCTAACTGCCCAAGTGAATCAGCAAACTGCCATGAAATTATAGGGCTAGCACCAAAATCTACACAGATGCAAGTCATGCCCAGCAGATAACACTGAATGAACGCCCAAGCCTTCACTGTACTTCCAAGCAAATGTTATTTTTGAAACATTTTCAAAGCTGTGATTTGAGGCTGTACACATTCAGGCATGCAGGCCCTCTAGGATCTCCACACCTCTCCTGCCTGCCACCAACAACCTACTGGCTGAGGGCTCCCAACAGGGAGAGCACTCAGCACAACAAAGGCAGGCCAAGAGACCTGCTAGAGTGGAGGGGCGGGAACTGTAACACATGCACTCAAAGGTTAGAATTTTTACAAATGGAAAAATATTTCCAAATTATTTCCCTCCTTTAAAAAGTAGAACAATAAACATGCTGGAGAACAAATGCCTCGAAGTAGGCGAGGGCCTCATCCTATTTATGATTCACCACTCCCTGCTGAATGCACCATACTAGAAGCCACCCTGGCTTCTGTACTGACTGCTTACAATGAAACTTTGGTGCTTCCCTTGTTTTTCCTCTGTCACATTTACCACCTAGGAAATAAATTCTGTTTCCTGAATCAATTGAGTCAACTTTCTTTCCATTAAAGTTTCCTAGGGCAGTTGGTGCCCCCGCCTTTCTGATAAAGCAACTGCAGGAACCAGTACTTTTATTATAAATGGCACACAGCCTTTTAGCTTGGGAGTTAACTTTGTTTCAACACATGGGATCTGTTTTCCCATGAAGGAATGAATCAAAACAAAACCACCTTAGTACACAAGATGCAGTAGTACAAGATGTTGGAAAAGTAGTTTTTCTCAAGAGTTAGTTTTGCAAGGAAAGGCAAGCACAAAGCAATTGTGGTTTCAATCTAAAAATTACCTGTGGCTGCTGTTTAGATTGGTATTTCGGTGACTCTACTCTGTCTCTTCTTTCAGATGCAACTGCCAGATTGGGAAACTCCTCGGCATCCTAAGTAAACCACACACCCCTTTAGCGCTTCACTTATCAGAAGAATGCAAATATGCCAAGTGCAACCTTTTCCTTCTTCAAGAAGACCCCAAGAAAGTTCTTAAAAGTGACACAGAACAGTTGCTAATTTAAGAGCTGCTTTAAATCTTAGAATAAATTTGAAGGTCATACTTTTAATGCTCATATCCCAGAAAAACAGAGTAACCAAGGATCCCAAGAGGACTACAGAACTGATCCTGCACTACCCTGGTATGACGTGTCGAAGGGCCTGAGGTTTTTGTCTGTTTTTCGCAGTAGAGAAAGTCCCCAGATACTAACAGATCTCGATGTGAACTCGTGCAAGTAGCTCACATGTATGCTGGACATTGTCATAGTTGTGCTGCTGTGTTTAATGTACAGTGTGAGAGTGTACAGTAGCACAGTATAGTTGAGGACTTACTGTACTGTGTGTGTTTCATTTCTTTATGCTTTACTTTGTGTATCTGTGTCAGAAGTGTGCAAGACTCACTTTGTTGGACTTACCAACAAATCTGACTTACAAATATTCTCCTGGAACAGAATTTGCTTTTAAGTAAGAGACTTACTGAACTGGGGATTGAAGGGCCTTCTCACCAAACTTCATCCCCAGACCCCCTTTTCATTTATTTATTTATTTATTTTTTTAAAAAAATTCTGAGACAGAGTCTTACTAAGTCACTGAGTTAGGACGGATCAAACTTGCACTCCTCCTGCTTCAGTTTCCCAGAGTGCTAGGATTACAGGTGTGTACTACCGTGCCCAGCTCAAGAACTTGTTCTTTAAGGACTATGTTTTTATTAGAAAACTCATCAAATCTACATTTGGTAGATTAAGTGATCTCAAATTTGTGCTCAACTAGGTTAGTCAATACAGACAAAGGCAAATGCCTGCAGTAAAACAATTTTAAACTCAAGTAAAAATATATTATGTCATTTTGCCAGCATTTTGTCATTCTGTCAACATTTTAGGTGCTGTGAGAAAAGTTGTGTGGGAAATACAGGTCAGAAATGTCTACTGTCCCCTGGCCTGGCCGTAATTCTTTGGCATAGTCAAAGGTCTTCACACAGGTACCTCTACTCTGGAGGGAGTATCCAGATGCTTTGGGACCCACTCCTCCAAATCTGTAGGCGTGTCCCAGGCTTGACCCTAAGGCTGGCTACCGAGCAGCATTTCTTGTGCCTGAATAAGCAGCCAGGACACCCAAGCATGGAAGGGCAATATGAAGAAGACAAGTAGGCCCGTGAGGAATGGTGTGAGAATGCAGGCTGGCTCCTTGGTGTACCTAGGCATTACTGGAGTGTACTGGGATAACAGGAGCTCTTTTGGAAGCACTTCACACCAAGATTTCTACCTAGAAAAAGAGGCTTTGCAAAAGCCAGCATTCCAATGCAAACCAGACGTGAACTGAAGGGAGCTCTTAGTAACATGGCATACCTTCATTCAAATGTTTCCCGAGTGCCTGCCAGGAGCTGCGAGGGAAGGGGAAGATAGCAGGTGTCTGTCACACTCTTCAGCACTAGAGAAGGAGTTATTATAGAAAATGCTGGAGATCTGCACTCAGGAAACCAGTGTGAACCCATGTGCCTATTAAGAAAGACCCTTTCCTTATATCACATTAAATAAGTAATAAATATAAATGTACTTCAATTCTTGGTGGTTCTTGCACTGTCACTGTCAGGATTTCGTATTTTGATTTGGACTTCTCTTTCTTTTTCTTATTCTTCCTTGAGGGTTCATTTTGTTCGAGGTCGCCACCTTGTAATGCTTGGGACTAGAACAAAAAAGGCAAAACATGTATTTTTACAGCATGCAGTATAATCTTTAATATCACGTATTAGAACAAAATCAAGGTATCGAGTTGTGCCAGATGTGGCGGCATGTACCTATAATCCAGAGCACTGAGGGAGGCTGAGATAATGGGATCCCAATTTGATTCCCACTGGAAAACTCAGAAAAAGCCTGTCTCAAAAAAATAAAAGAGGCTGGAGACATAGCTCAGTGGTAAAGCATACCTGGGCTCAATTCCTAGTTCTGAAAAAAAAGAAAAAAAACAAACACTTGTACTCTTTGACTAATACCGTTTCTCAAGGTCTAAGTACAATACGCTGAGGATAGTGAGTCCAGGACAGAGTGCTTTCAGTTACGATGGGGGAGATGGGGAGACTACCAGCAGCAGGGAAGGTCATCTCTGTCAGACTGTGAACTGGTACAGAGAAGCTGTGCTCCCGTGGCCAGTTCAGCACACAGTCCCACGCATCATATGCATTCAGTGCTGTGCAACCATCTCCACCCACCGCCTCCAGGGCAAATGTCCTCTGGCAAAACTGAACCTCTAGACAGGAACTCCCTGCTCCCCTTCCCTCAGCCCCGGCAGCTCCCATGTTACTGTCTCTAGTGATGCATACCTTTTTAGTAGGATGAACAACATGATTCTCTTTGTTGTAGGAAGGATCTGAAGATAAAACTTCAGAAGATGACACACTAACACTTTTAGGATCTGCTGACGAAACAACTGACTTTAGGTTTATCATAGAAGCAACATTCTTAGGAGCTGGCGATGGTTCTGAAGATGTCTGCCGAACAATATAACCCATTGGTGTCCAAGATAACTCTGCTCAAAGATAACCAAAATTGTTGAACAACCTCAACAGTAAACAGAAATTCTGTAGCTACTCAAATATATATTACATGAGTAATTACTCAGAGTATAACTGAAATTAGACTACTATCCAAAGCATCCCATTGGAAATCACAGTATTCACTAAACTTGTCTTTTTCTTCTGGGAGCATGCACGCTGAGTTTTTCTCTTTAACTTGTAAGGTTAACTGATTTTCCTAGTTTTTCACCTGGGCATGGTGGGAGGGGACAGAAGTGGGAAGACAGACAACATTCTAGTTAAAATATAATCCACAACAATGTCTGTGTGGCAAACACATAGAATTGAAGGGTTAAAGATCAAAGTTTGGCCTTACTAACCTTGATGTATACCTTGAATAGTGGAAGCTAAAGATCTCTAGAGTGCAGCTACCACAATAACTGGTACTTTATTTCTTTCAGAACATAGGGGTAAGTACAGCAACACTACTCCTCCCAGGTGCCCATGAAGCTGTCTATACAGACAAAACAAAAGGACTTCTATCAGGACCTGGGCAGAAGAACATGTCTGCCGCCTGAGCCGCCCCCAATGGTGAACTGCTCACACTGCTACAGAGCCACACATGATCGCAACAGCCGTGGAAGTGAAGAGCGAAAGAAGCACATGTGCGTCAAACACAACAGTGCACAGGAAAACACACCAGTGAAAAACCCTGAGTTTTCCATTAGGACAAGCAACCACGAACTTTCTAGAGGACAGTCTATCACATGCTTCTGGAATAAATTACTTCTTAGCTGAGACAGGACAGATATGCTCCTGGGATCCTTTCTGGGGTCCACTGTGTGGCTGTGTCAGCTGCATTCCTCACTCTGACTGGAGTGTGCCAAGGCACATGGCATGTGCCAGCTAAACAGCCAAACACCAAAGCAGGTCTATGGAGCCAGACAGTAAAGACTCACATGATGCAAAGCAAGGCTCTCTCGCTTGTTTTGTAACTTTGGAAAAGTTGTAATAGAAAGAGGCTTTGTAAAAACATAAAGCGTTCTTTTTTTTCTCTTTGAGACAAAGTTTCACTATGCAGTTCAGGCTGGCCTTGAACTCACTATGTAGCCCAGGCTAGCCTCAATTCGCAGCAATCCTCCTGCCTCAGCCTCCTGAGTGCTGGGATTACAGGCATGTGCCACCACAGCCAGTGAGCATTCACTATTTTTAAATGAATTAGGATTTAAAAAATTTGTTTTCACTTTAAACCTGGCAAAAACTGTGACCCAAACAAACAGAAGCTCTTTAAGGCTCTCACTTTTTAAAGGCATTTAGGGTCCTGAAACCAAAGCTTTCAAAAATAGGTAACACAGAAGTAGTCATTTTAAAGGTTTATAAAATTTTACTTAATTGGATATGTTTCAATTAAAATTCTCACTTCCTCACACTTCTTGTACATAGATGTGTGACCTCACTTACTAAATATTATAAATTAACACTAAGGTTAGTTCATCAAATACTCACTAGCTGCCTCAAAAAAGCTTTAAAACAAAAACCATTTAACTGTATTGGAGTTAATAATGAGCTTGGAAAATATATAGCTCACTTTAAAAAATAGTATTTTGTAGTGAGTCTTACCTCTTGTACATGATGGGGAACTGGAAGCAGCACTATCAGTTACAGATTCATTTGAGGGTTTTTTCATCACTACCTCGCCCTAAAAAGAAAACACATTAGATGTCATTGGAGAAACTCAAAACAACAATCTACCATGGCACACCGTAGGGTGCACAGACATTGTGGCAAGGCTGCGAGTGAAAGGAGCCCTCATCTGTGGCTGGGGCGAATGCACAATGCACCCTGCAGAAGGCAGTTTGGCAGTTTCTTATGAACAAGTTATCAAGCCCTGAATGTGCACAGATGAAACTTAAATGAGCACTATAACTGTGGGAAAAGAGGCCAGTCTGGAAAGGCTACACACATTCTCCAACTGCTGACATTCTAGAAAAGGTAAAACTGCATCAACAGAAGATCAGCGTCTGGTAGGGGTTGGGAGGACGGATAAGCAGGGGGAGAACAGCAGGTTTTCAGAGCAGGGCAACCCCTCTGCAGGATGCTCTAATTGTGAACGCAAGTCAGTATGCATCTTTCTAAACCTGCAGAACATACAGCACCAAGAGTAGAAGCTAATGCAAACTATGAATGCTAGGAGATAATGATACATAAAAACAGTAACAGGAAAAAACACCCCCTATTATCCATAACTTCAAACAGAAGCCTTCTGCTTCTTTGCCCACCACACAAACATTTGTGTGTTGGATCACAGACTCATAACAATGTGCAACTTCTGACAGACTTAATACACTGAGGATGACTCTCCAGGACAGCACACATGTGGCTCCATGACTCTTCTAGCAGCAGTGCTCTGGTGTGAAAGCCCAAGACAACATTCACTAGCCCACATACCAAAGTCTAAAGCAGCCCAACAAATGTCCAGAGATAAGAAACAGAAGCAGGTAACACTGTGCTCTTCCACAAAGACACAGGCTGCCTCACATACTGGACATAGGGCCTATAAGGACACTGTGTAGCTCAGAGATGGGGTAGCATCACCTGTAACCCCAGCACAAAAGGATGTGAGTGCCATACCAGGACTATACAGCAAGAATGTATCTTAAAAAACAAAAAGAAAAACAAAAAAAAATGGCCTGGGCCTGGGGATATAGCTACTAAGAGAGTAAAGGCAAATCCAAGCCTAGTTTGAGTAAGCCTGTCTCAAGAAAAAAAAAAAGAGAAGCGACTAGGAATGATGCTCAGTACGATGGCCCTGGGCTCCAACCCCAGGACAGTAACACTTAATTTAAAGAACTGAGGCTGGGTGGGTAGCACAAGCCTGTAATCCCAGCACTCAGAGATTGAGGCTGCAGGATTCACCAGGAGTTCATGGACAGCCTGAAATACATAAGGAGATCCTGTCTCAAGATTTCAAAGGGGGGATGGTGGTTAACTCAGTAGTAGGGTGGCCGGGGATTCAACCCCTATACCACAGGGGCAAAAAAACCCAGGGTATTCTTTTAATAAATGTAACTTTTATGTTCACTGAGGCCAGTTAAAAAGTAGAAATGGTGACCAGGAAGTCAAAAACTATACTATAGAAGACAGTCACAGAAAAGAGCACAGCACAGGTTATGGACCTAAAGGGTGTCCTGCACAGTGTTTATGACCCCCATCTGCAGACTACTGCCATGCAAGGGAAATAAAATAGCAACGCAGGAAACCAGAGCAAAAACAAAATGCGGCAGAACCCAGAGCAGAAGGATAAACATCCATGGTGGGAAAAAGAGGCTAGGCTCAGGGGGGTGCTACCATCACATACCCTCTCAGGCTGGTTTAGGCCCTGCTAGCAGGGCACCAACCACCTGTCCTTCAATTGCTGTCCCTGTTTCCTACTCTGGACTGTAGTTCTTCTCTTGTTCCCAGAGTACCCAGTGCTGCCACAGGACCTAGAGCACAGTAGCACATGGGAGATGGTCAAATCACTGGCCACACCAATGAAAAAATGAATAGATGGAATCTAAAAGACAGGTAGCATATGAACTACAGGAAACAGGAGGACAGAATGGTATTTCTTTTTTTTGGTTTTTTTTTTTTTGGTTTTTCTCCGGTACTGGGAACCGAACTCACGACCTTGCACTTGCCAGGCAGGCGCTTTGCCGCTGAGCTAAATCCCCAGCCCCCCAGAATGGTATTTCTGACAGGCTAAAAGACAGAATTTAAAGTAAAGAAACCACATGTAGTGATACAGTCCTATAATCCCAGCATTTGAGAGGCTGAGGCAGGAGAATTGTAAGTTCAAGGCTAGCCTATGCTAGGTAACAAGTTCAATGACAGAGGAAGACACATAGTAAGATCTTGTCTTACAAAAACAAAAACAAAAAACAAAAAGCAATGGTTACCTGTTCAAGAAGTGTTAAACCAAGTATGGTATTTCTACAATATTTTTTGGTTTGTTTTTCTTCCGGTACCAGGAATTGAACCCACGACCTTGTGCTTGCCAGGCAGGCGCTGTGCCGCTGAGCTAAATCCCCAGCCCCTTTCTACAATATCGATGGGACAGATCCAATACAACAGTCAGTTTAAAAAAAAATCTGACAGGAGAAAATACCAAAAAATTAAGACAGTAAACACGTAATCCTAAATAGAGAGGAAAGCTCTATTTCCATTATATCCTACTAAAAGAAAAAAAAAAAAGAAAAAAAGATTAAGTCCTAGGCATGATTGTTCCCTTAACTGTACAATTTCAGACAATCATATTTTCTTTTGTAGTATTTCCTGTCGTTTATAGAGACAACTGATACAATCAGGGCAAAAAATTTCTTTCAGAAAACAAAACAGCCCTCATGTAATTGAAGGTAATAAGGCAATCAGTACATAAATGTCCTTCCATAAATGGCTCAACCGTACGTTGCATTCAGACACCACGTACAAGCGATCTCAGTTACAGAGTCAGGAGGGCAGCCACTCATGCCATGATGGACTGATGCTGCTGGCACTTCATCCCGCTGCTTGAGTGACGCTCACATGAAGACTGATCAGCCACCAAATGGGCACAGCATGGGCACAGAAAGCAGCTGCCCCTCTATTGATAAACTGATTTTCACACGGCTGTCAGCCTGCCTTGCTTTACATAGATGCCTGGCATGGAGACAGTGCTACAGCAGCAGAAGCACCAACAGGCACACAGCGCTGCACAGTGCTAACTTTGCACTTACAAGCAATCTGTAACTAAGGGCAGTCCCAAGGCAGGAGATGAAAATCCCTTCTTTGTAATAAAAGGATGAGCTCCTTTTTGTTCTTTTTCTTTTCTCCTTATTTTCATACTGGTTTGTATTATACCCCATTCCGCCCTTCAGCAGAAATTTATTAAAAGCCACTTCAGGGATTACTAACCCAATACCACTTTTTTCCTGGAAGTCTGAAATCTCTCTGTTTGAGAAAACTGCCTCAGTTTGGTACACTAAAACATTTGGGGAAAATGTTGAATATGGTATAATTTAAAATGTAAAGGAAGCTGGATGTGGAAGCACACATCTATAATCGCAGCATGCCAGGAGGGTGAGGCAGGAGGACTGCTGACAGTTCAAGTCCAGCCTAGGACACATAGTGAGTTCAAAGCCAGCCTGAACTACATAGTGAGACCCTGTCACCAAAACAAACAAAAATTACAAAACAAGATTATAAAGTAACAAACCAAGCCAGTGTGGTGGTGCATGCCTGTAGTCCCAGTACTCAGAAGGCTGAGGCAGGAGGATCACTGCAAGTTTGAAGTTAGCCTGAGCTCCATAAGGAGTTTAAGGCCAGCATGAACTATGTAGTGAGACCCTGTCTCAAAAAAAAAGTAACAAACCAAAAGTAACCTATTATAATATCCTTTGTTAAATCTGCAATTAATAAGACTGGAGATAAAGATTTAAAAAAAAACCCTGGAATATTCAGTTATACTACGCAGTTTTAAATATTACTATTTCTCTTTAAGTCTTTTTCTCTATATTTCAAAAAGGGCCGAGAGACTGCAGTGTTACAGGTGCTGGACTTAAAGTGGGCTGTCAAAGCAGCTAGACTCTGCCAGAACCTTTTCCTTTAACTACCAGGTAAAAAGAAGTCCATCAGGTGGTTCTTTCACAAAGGCAAATGACAAGGTGTGGATAGCCCAAATAACAGAGGTCAGCCAAAGACACCACAAAAGGCCTCCCCAGGACCTCCTCCCTACAACATGGACATCACAGCCCACACCAGGATTTAATGTGTCATGTTGGAAGTGAGGCAACTGAAACAGTATATGCTGAAAAGAAACCCACAAACTGCCCTGCCCCCCCCCCAACTTACCCCTGACACCACTCCAGCAGGTTCTCCCACTTCTGCTACAAGAGATACAGTGGAGTTGGATCGGAGAGGTCCCCATCTGCACTGCTTCTGTATCCCTGACATACTGCTCTCTGGACCCTGCAATTCAGGAAAATCCAACCTGCTAAATTCAAACTCAGGTTTGGAGGTAGACGGACTTTTTTCAGTAGTTCTGGATTTCCTGGCTGTTCGCTTATGGTAACCATCTGTAATTATAGAATAAAAAGTAGATGTAAAAATGCAGATAAAGTGTGATGAGTAGTAATCAAACTTAAGTCTCAGAGGAGAAAGCCCACTGCTATGAAGGCATCAAGCTGTTGCCAAAATGTCCTAACTTTGCTGGTGTTGCCACCCTTCTCTACAGGAGTATGGAACACAAGTGACCACATGCATCAATCACTCAGGTTGGGCCACGATGTAGAGAACCAAAATGCACTTTGAATTTTAGGAGAAATTCTAAAGCTGATGAAACAGTTACCTTAAGCTGATTGCAGAACTGGGCATTTTAATTATTTTAATATATATTTTATTTATGGGTGGGTGGTTGAGACAGGGTCTTGCTATGCAGCTCAGGCTGGCCTTGAACTCACTTTGTAGCCTGGGCTGGCCTTGAACTCAGTGAACCTCCTGCCCCAGCCTTCCAAGTGCTGGGATTACAGGTGTGTGCCACCATGCCTGGCTTTATAATATAAATTTTAGAGTCTGGCGAATTTAAGGGGATTCTAACAAATTTCCTACAACTAATTTGCACTCTTCAGGTTGCTGGGCCTGGAACAAACAAGTAGTATGAAACTTATGGCCTGTGTCTCATTTTTCTCCTTAAATGCAGCGGATGATGAGGTAGGCTTAGTGCCAGGAAGTCCCTCCTGGAACTGCAAGGCCAGAGTTCCTACTTCTTTCCTTTCATACTCCCATGTGCCAGGTGAGTCACATGAGTGGAGTCAATGAAAGAGAAAAATGCGTAAGCCAAGAATACAGAGTATGTGTGTAAATACATTGCATTCCCAGTAACAATTACAAAAGCTGTCGGTCATATATAAATAGGTGATGCCAGTGATCAAACCACAGCTATAATGTATAAGAAAAAAAAAAAAAACACATGACACCAGGTATAGTCCCTGACTTCCAGCAAGACTAGAACAGAAATTTTCAAGCCTAGAACAGATGTGGTCTGTGGCACAAATAGAAATGGTGTCCTTCAGGTTACCACAATGGCCAGGTTTGTTCTTATTTAAGATGGGCCTTTAACCATAGTCAAATTCTCCCACCTAGTAAAAATCTCCCGTCAAACACCAGAGAAGCTATTTCAGGAATGAACACAATCAAATATGTACAACGGATATGACCATAATTTGCTTTTATTTAAGGGCATGTTTTGAAGCTTGAAGTCATCACCTGTTTACTGTGTGATCTAAAACTCCATGAAGAGCACAATCCTAACAGGTGGAGGCCCCTTCTCAGCCCACAATGCACATTACCACACTGAGATCCTCTGCCTAAGATAGAAAAGGCCTGCAGAGTCCCACAGGAAGTCTGATGCCCTCAGCTGTGCTGAGCTCCCAGCCGCATTCCCTGGAACAGTCACGATGAACAAGCCCACAGAGATGGGGATGCTGCTGGCATGGGTGACACTCCCTACACAGTCTGTTATTGTTATCTGGTTTTGATCTATTCTCACCATGAATGGATAAATGGTGGGGACCTCTGGCTGACTTGATCTCAGATGATACTGGACCATCAGTCCTTTTAAACTTTTGCTCATTGTATATTTTTTTCTCATCATAGGTTTTCTTCTGCAGGAGATTAAAAAACAACATGAGATAAGAAAACTACAACCACAAAAAAGGTTTAAAACAGTAAATTAATAAGTATTCACAATTCATTTTTAAAAAGGTTAGACCAAATTACTATTATTTGTTTGTTTGTTTGTTTTTGTTTTTTTTCCGGTACCGAGAATTGAACTCATGACCTTGCACTTGCCAGGCAGGCGCTGTGCCACTGAGCTAAATCCCCAGCCCCCTTGACCAAATTATTTTTAAAAGGCTAAAGGCCATCCCCACACAAAAAGAATAAGTAGTGCTTAACTATCATGCAAAAAATACCAATTTCTTATATTGCACACTAAAGCAACCCACTCGCGGATACAATAAAAAGCATTTCTTCACCTTTAAAGGAGCCTTCGTTTCTTGTGGGACAGCGCACACATGTTCATTTTGGGGCTTCACAGTCTGAAAACCTCGACGACTGGGTTGGCTGTAATCATACCGTGAGGCAGGCACTGAGCACACATTCTGTGTAGACTCAAAGGTATATGGAGTGTAGGCGTACGAATGTAGCGTTATCTCTGAAGATAGATACTGGGGTGGAAATGCTGAGGCTCTAAAGGCTGTGTCTTCTGTATATATTTTCTGGCTAAAAAGTGTAAATTTTAGTTGTATATTTCATAATGCAAACCAAAGAACTTAAAATTTTGTAATATGCTGATTTTAATATTTAACTTTTTTTAGATCACTTGCTGTAGACCTAGAATAGCCTTCATTAAAACAAATGAAACCTCAACCTCTTACTCTCTTTACAAGAAAGATGTTGTCTGTCTCTATTTTCTTTCTTTTTCTTAAATTGATGAGCAGGAAGTCTATGAGCAATGCAACTGATTTGCTAAGGTTTCAACTGAAGGCTGATCCAATTATAACATGCTAAGGAGCTGAGTAAAATGTGTATCATAACCACCTGTTTCCCACAAATAAGCACCAGGAGATGTTTCTTAATTTTTAGACCTACATCAAAGTGTACTGGTACACAGCAAGGCAAGAAAATTCAAACCTAATCATGCCACATCCCATGTGGTCTTCTAACTAACTGGCTGTCAGGAGATACAAACATAGGCACCATTTAGCAGAAATCGTATTTTTTTTTTCTTTTTTTGGTATCAGGAATCAAACTCAAGATCTAGGGCTTGCCAGGCAGGCACTGTGCCACTGAGCTATATCCCTGGGCCAGAAATCACATTTCTGATCTGCTGCAATTACTAGACTCCTCCTAGAAGAAAGTCACTACAGACCACAGCTGCAACACATGCATGAGCCTTGCTTCCTTCCATTCAGTCTTCATCACACTGCCACCTTATCACTGTGTATTAATTCATAACATTCCACAATAAACTTCAACCCCATAAGATCTTGGAAAGCATATTAATTCTAATAATGAAATATCACTAATAAAACGTAAAACCTTCCTTGGTGACCTTTTTCTGTCCTTCAGAACACCTGGCCTACTACTGCTCCAAAAAGAGCACAAAGACCTAGTTCTTGCTAAAGATCAAGATTCAAAGCTTCACCCCATTACCTATAGGCTTCTAGGAGTTTCAGCTTGATTTGTTTAGTGGCTCAGAAGGTTGCAAAGGTGAAGAATCTGTTCTCCACAGGAAAAGATGGGCAAAGCTGGGTGTGGTGGCATAAGCCTGTAATCACAGCATTTGGAAGCCTGAGGCAGGAGGGTCACTGCAAGTTCAAGGCCAGTCTGGGCCACAAAATGAATTGAAGGTCAGCCTGAACTGCACAGTGAAACTCTGTCTCAAAAGACAAAAAAAAAAAAAGAGAGAGAGAGAGAGAGAGAGAAAAGGTGAGCAAAGAACAAGGGTTGACAGCAAAACAAAGGAAAAAAAATATTAAAAAAAAGTTCCAAGTCCAAAAAATAAGATAATTTCTCACAGATGAAATTTAGCTTAAAAAAAAGAAAAAAGAACAGAGAGGAAGGCAGAGTCCAGGAGCTGTAATGAAGGTTGCTGTCATCCAGGACATTTTCAAGACTGTCAAAGGACCCTGATTGGGTCCAGACTCTTCACAATTTAGTTTTTCATAAACTGTGGGTTTCTGTCCTGTGGGTTTCTGTAACCTCACTGGTCCTTATTCCTCTGGAAAGTTGGTATTTTTCCTTCCCATCTAGTGCAAATGAAGTTATAAGCAGAGAAACATATACAAATCCAAGTATCAAAGAGACAACCCAGTCCTCAGATGGCTTCCCCAGAAAATTCCCATTGCCACAAATTGCTCAGATGACACAGGACAGGCTTGTTTTATGTCCCACGGGGCTGGCCCCTGTGCAGTGCTCACCTTCTTGTAGGCCTCTTACCTCTCCCTCCCACCTCCCCTAACTTTCTAGGCTCCACTGGTGTGGACTGTGCTCCCCATCCAAGGGGCCTCTGCTGTTTTCTCTGCACCCTCCTCAACCCGCCTGTATGACTCATTCACAGTGGAAGCCTCTCACCTTCCTGCTCAGGCTTCAAGTATATATACAACCCAGCACCTTTGCCAGATCTGGGCCTCCATCTCCACTTTACTAGTTATTTCCACCTACGATTTCACTCTTCCCCAATACAGCAAAAAGAAATCCCAAACTTAACACCTGGTCCACAAACGAGCCCTGCTTCCACTTTCTGTGTTTTGTTTTGGTTTGTTTGGCTGTGCTGGGAACGGAACCCAGGTCCTTTGCACTGCACTGAGCTACATCCACAGCCTCTACCCCTCCCCTGACACACACAGTTCTTTTTTTAAAAAAAGACAAGGTCTCACTAAGTGGTTAAAATGCCCAAGCAGGGGGTTGAACTTTCAATCCTCCTGTCTCAGCCTCTCAGAGTGCTGCGATTATAGTTATGTGCCAAACTCTGGCCTAAATTCTGTTCTTATGAATGATCCCACAGGTCCTTCTATATATTTGCAGAATATTACAATACTGTATCCTTCTCAGCAAAACATACAGTGATAATCATGGAAACATCCCCCACCGCCACTCTGTTTTGAGACAGGGTCTTCCGATGGAGTGCAGGCTGGCCTTGAATTTACTAAGCAGTCCAAGCTGGTCTTCAACTCAAAGTGTCCTCCTGCCTCAGCCTTCTGAGCACTGGGATTACAGGTGTGTGCCACCATGCCCCCCGCCCTTCTTGAGCAGGTCTCTTTTTTAAGTATTTTCTTCTCTATTTCCAGTGCCTAAACCTAGTCAAAACTTCCAATCATCTCTTAAAATTCTAACTGGATTCAAGAGTGATTTTCATGACCCAATTTAATACCACCAAACACTCCCTATTTCCTATCCAGCTTTCAGCTGTACCAAGCAGGGGTCCAATCGACACAATGCAACACTTAGCTACTATAGACTGCTAGGCTCTGTGCTAGTTTTCTTAGACCTAGCCCTTTTAACTAAAACACATGGGTGGCGCTTTCTGAAATTTCCTACAATACTGCAAAATGCTGAAAATGCTCAACAAACTCCTACCAACTACAATAGTAGTTTTGGAGAATAGTATTATTAAACTCCGGCCAAAAGAATGTTAATCTTGTTTCTTTGGCGAACCCTCACTAATGTACTTACCAATACTACTATATAAAGGTAGGATTTCAACTTTTGTCAAAAACTGTACCTTTCAATATTTCCTACATAGATTATTCACCAGATAATAATGATTTTTTTTTTATGTGTTCCAGTTTTCAGTCTTGAAAATTCAATTCTGGAATTTATATCCAGTATAAAATTTTCAATCATATCACACAAGCACAATGAAAATAAAAAGGAAACCATTTTGAGCTATATCAAGAAATTAATAAATGTAAGATCTTAGATAAACACTAAAGTGAACACAGACCTTAAAAATAAATCTACAAATAAGTCTATACTATTATGCGAAATTAACAAATTCAGCAAAAAGCAGAAGTCATTTTGTAAACACCCTGAAAATGAATCTTGAAAAGGAAAAAGAAAATTAAAAAAAAATGTAAGCCTTCTTTCAACTCAAATTTAGAACAATTTAAAACTACAATTTGAAAAAAAAATCTATCTCTGTAGGACATATATAAAGCAAAACAGCTAAAAGCAAAGCCAATAATTTCTAAAGAATTGTTCACACAGAAGGTAGCTATGGTTGCTCACCTCCCTCCCTTCCATGGACAAGATTTTTTTTTGGTACTAGAGATCAAACTCAGGACCTTGTGCTTGCCAGGCAGGTGCTTGTGCCCGTGAGCTACATCCCTGGCCCTGAACAAGATTTTAAAATGGTCATCCTTAAAAATGAAGAGCATGTTATCCATTTGGCCAGCCCTTCTTTTGCCCTGTTTTCTACTACCTATCCTTCTTACTATTTCATCTCCCACTAGACATGTCTTTTTTTTCTGAGGTGCTGGGTATTAAATCAGCACCTTGCACAGGATAAGGCAAGCAATCTACCACTGAGCTATATCCCCAAGCCCTAGGTATGTATGTTTCCTGCTCCCCACACACAACCCCTCATAAGGGGAATTGAGTCTAGGGCCTTTGCAATGGTTACATCTCCAGCACATTTTTTATTTCAAGACAGGGTTTCATTAAGTTGCTAAGTTGCCCAGGCTGGGCTCAAACTTGTTCTTCTGCTTCAGTCTCCCCAAGTGCTGGGATTACAGGCACGCACTACCAGGCTGCTAAGCTCATATTTTTATACTGTATGAATAAATGGAATTTGACACTGCATTTCCTAATAAATGCAATGCAATCTCCTTCCTTTCTCAGCTTGGTACAGCTGAAAGCTGGATAGGAAATAGGGAGTGTTTAGTGGTATTAAATTGGGTCATGAAAATCACTCTTGAATCCAGTTAGAATTTTAAGAGATGATTGGAAGTTTTGACTAGGTTTAGGCACTGGAAATAGAGAAGAAAATACTTAAAAAAGAGACCTGCTCAAGAAGGGCGGGGGGCATGGTGGCACACACCTGTAATCCCAGTGCTCAGAAGGCTGAGGCAGGAGGACACTTTGAGTTGAAGTCCAGCCTGGACTACTTAGGAGACTTCTTAGTACTCAATCTCCTTCTGAGTACCAAGGTAAAAAGGCAGAGCTAGCTGGGCATGGTGGCACTTGCCTGTAATCCCAGCATTCAGGAGGCTGAGGCAGGAGGACCGTTGTGAGTTCGAGACCAGCCTTGGCTACAAAGTGAGCTGAAGGCCAGCCTGAACTGCATAGCGAGACCCTGTCTCAAAAAGACAAAAAAAAAGGCAGAGCTAGAACTCCAGTTTTTGCTGGCACAGGATATGGTTAAACTGCCTAACGGCTCAGTCCCTTCTTAGCTGGAGAGCATCCTCTCCCCACCTACAAAATCTTAATGTGGTGGCTGTGCCTTTCATGTAAGTCTAATTACCATTAAATCCAAGAAATACATCCCCTAGAGAAGGTCAGGCATTTATAAAATACGTACTCAGTCACTCGTGGTTCCTGTACAAATGGATAGTAGGTGGCTGCACAGCTAGGGAAGACACATGCTTCTGAAGACTCCGTCCACGCCACATTGAGCCCAGAAAACTTGGGGACAAATGGTTTCACATCTGCTGATAACTTCATGCTTGACTGAGAGAGAAAGAGGTGAGGTGTTGGCTACATACATTATAAAGTCAACCAAATGTAAACAAAACCCAAAGAGAGGCACTCCATTCTAACAGTCCCCAACGCCGTTATTTAAAAACTTCTGCCTAGTGAAGATTAGAATTCACTTTGATAAAAATTTCTTTCTGCTGATATTTTATTTAGAACAGTCTTTCGAATATCAGAAGTGAAAAATAATGGCAACCAATTAAAGTGGAATTCAAATTCAACCTAGAGCCGGACGTGGTGGCACAGGCCTGTAATCCTAGCACTCGGGAGGCTGAGGCAGGAGGATTGTTGTGAGTTCGAGGTCAGCCTGGGCTACAAAGTGAGCTCAAGGCCAGCCTTAACTGCATAGTGAACCCTGTCTCAAAAAGACAA